TATATATATATATATATATATATATATATATATAAATGCATACCCGGTATCATTCGTTCTAGTACTTTTTTGATCGTAACAGTTAAATTTTCTTCATATAAACAAAATGAAAACTATAAATATATTCTCAAGACTTTAAGACTTTTCTTTTAAGAGAGGCTTATATAAAATCAAAATTTCAAACAACAAATGGTATTATGTGACAATTTCACATTGGCTACTGTATCACATCCTATATGAATGTATATATCTAAACAAGCAAATAGACAAGCAATAAATGGCGTCGATAAGCAATTGATGAAAAAACGAACAACCGAAGCGTACAAAGCAAAACAAATAATTCGTCAAACTGGATCGGATTCCAATGTATTCTTTTTTTTTCCCCCAAATTTCCTATGTACGTTTTATTTGTCGATAGTTGTAACATGGAAATGACTGGAAGAGAATTACAGTAAAGCTCATAGATCCCTCATACACGGAAGATTGTAGAGTATAGTATAATGAATAAAAACCCATGATACATACCGCTATAGATATAGACGAATAATATCTATCGTAGCCATAAATTCATTGCGTTTCCAATTTTAACAGCCATGACCCATTTATTTGCAAATCCAGCCGTACTATTTTCTTTCTTCCTTCCTTCCTTCCTTCCTACTTTTCTTTTTTGCTTTTTTTTTTTTAAACTTCCCGCTATGAAAATCAATAATTTTCAAAAATTATTAAGTTATGTATTGATTTTACTCTGATTTTCGAAAATCGAGTTCTTTACAAACCTTGGGTTTTCAGGTCCTAGGAAGCTATTCTGATTATTTTTACGTGGATTTCCTGAAAAAGTGTTGGAATTTGTTATCAAATCATTTTTCAGGGTATAAAAAATTTTTTTGCGCTTAAAAAACTGCATTGAATGCTGCAAACAAAATGAAAATTGCAGCAAAGAATTTTTTTTTCTCAAGTATTTTTCTATGCCATATAGTTTAGTAAACGGTTTTCTATCATGTTTTTTTTTTTTCTATTGATAATTATTGTTGTACTTGAGTGTATTTTAATTGTGATAATCGATTTTTGTCTGAACGGATTTGAGTTTGAGTTTTCTATTGGTGAGACACCGTACAAAATGTGGTACCATTTCATGTTGGTCACGCTCGCCAAGCAAAGTTGGTGGAAAAAGTAATTAAGGGATAAATCGTCTATTATTCAACTTGAATATACCCTAAATTGGTCCCCGTTGTGAATACAAAATGTAACTCAACTGTTCGCTTATTCCTTTCTTATTCATAAAAAATGACATATCAGATTAATGAAAATTGGCATCAATATTTTTATATCAGGTGCATAATAGAAGTAATGTTGATAAACGGCGATCCAAATGTTTCTATAATCAAATTATGAGATGTGCTATCAATCCACATGATTACCAATAGTTATATAATAATAATAATAATAATAATAATAATAATAATAATGAATAATTTTAAGAGATAGAGAGATATAGATGAAAGACAACAATCAAATAACTAAATGACAACGTAAGTAATGTTGATACCTTTAAATATTAACAGTAGAGTTATACGCAACTTACAAGAGTTCAAGATATACTTATTGTTACAATTTATATGAGCTGTAATTAAAAATACCTTAACAATATATTATTTGATTTTTAAGTAACTAAAATATTTTTCAAAAAATATCGATTATTAAAACACGGATGTTGCGTAAATATTCTGGAAAAAATTTTAAATAACGTTAAAAGAAATAGAAAACGGCAACTAATCTAGCTTTAAATTCATGTATATATCCATACATGTTATTATACCGTGCGATTTGTAGATAATATGCATTTAATATATTTCTTTAACGTGACATACCGTTATTGCCTAACCTACTAGTAAGTGGGTTAATAACGAGAGATTTTGAATTTGGCGGTGAGCCAAATGTTGACACCGGGCTTTATATATAGATTATTTTGATTTTGTTTCGATAACAAACTATCAAAAAATTCAAATATTAATACCTCACTGATTGTTATCAAATTTTTTAAGCCTAAAAATGAATAAATAAATAAATAATTATAATCTATAGAATTTATAATAATACGTATGCAAGAAAATATTTAAATGATGCCGAAGATTTTTAAATGTATTAATTGATAAAATAAAAAAGTTTCAAATAGATGAATAATAATTTATAATAGAACAAAAGTATTAGCTTTGATAGATCAATATTGTACTAAATGTATATATAAATATTTAAGTATGTAACAAAATCAACAAAAACCACTACAACAATACAGAGATACAGAAACATATTGCAAGTATTCCTCTCAAACAAACTGAATATATATGTATATATAATATATAGGGCATACAACTTAATCTAACTTGCTTGGAGTAGAATCGTATACGATCAATTTCCGACCAAGTAAACGGAACGAAGCAAAGGGAGCGAGAGAACATCACTCTGCTTCAATTCAACCTGTACACAAAGACAGTTTGTAAATTTAGTATTAGTATTAGGGCTTACTATTATTACAACTAAAATGTATTTTCGTCAAAATAAATAATGCTTTTACTTTTAAATTCTACATTTGATATTCTATAATTCTATAAATTTATATAATAATATTAACGAAAAACAAAAGTAAAAAATAACTCTATCATTATTATTATATAGATAGAAAATGTATTACGAATCAAACAAACTTATTTATCATATAAAATGAAAATTTTAAATTATCGATAATTAAAAAGAAAAAAAGGTTTATAATGTTTTAACGTGTATATATATATATATATATATATATATATATTTTTTTTTTCTAATGTTTATCTTAGGGATGGAACCATGGAAAAAAAGCGAAAAAAATGGAGAACAAGGATCAGAAATACAATTACCGTGTATTTTAAAAAGTCCAAAATGTGGTGGACTTCACAGTATTAAGTGGTACAGAGGTAGCCAGAGAATACTCATATTCAGTGAAAGTGCTGGGATAACACGTGGAAATAATGATATTGCAGCAAGGTAAACAATTTATTTATTGTATTATTGATATAGTTAAATTATACATATAATTTTATGATAATAATTGTATTAACTAACCGCAAATGCCCTACGTAAATCTTACACCATATATTAGTAATTTTAGTTTTATAATTATATTTTTATAATTATAAACTTTTACGATATATTATTGTACATATATAAAATAATAAATAATTAACTACAATAGATCAACAATGAATTACAATCAAAATGCTACGAAAACATATCTCAAAATATCAGATTTAAAACTAGAAGATGAAGGTTTATACAAATGTGAAGCTACGTATTTAGCTGTTAATAGGGAGTGTAATAATGTACAACATATAACTCTCAATACCACTGGTGAGTAATTATTTTAATAATAATAATAATAATAATAATAATAATAATAATAATAATAATAACATTTACTTAATAGATAAATTGTATAATTTTTCTTTTATTGTTTATAATCCCTCTATCATCTTATTTATTGCTTTAAAAAATAAGTGATCAAATTTATCTATATTGAATATTATCGTTTTTCCTTAAAGTTATATAATAAACTAAAAAGTTACACAAAACAACTTGCAATAATAGATACATTTATAATTATTATTATTATTATTATATCAAATGAAACTTTTTATAGTTTAAAATATTAATATAACTGTTAATTTAAATAAATATTTACCAACATATAATTTGCACGGCAAGTGTTATAAAATAAAATAGAAAAATAGAATAACAAAAAGAATAACTTTGAGAACTATAAAACCGTAAAGAAGCTTTACTAGCCTGAAACTTGTTTTACCGAACATTGGAAAGTATTTTATATGGCCGAGTTTCTTCTCGAAAATTAATGTTCTTTCTCAGTTTAAAGTTTTTAATACGAAAAGTACCATCGAAAAGTAACTTGATATTCTTTTTAGAAAAATTGTCATAGAACATTGGAAAATCTATACAGTGAATTTTTAATATAAAAATATTATAATAAATTTCATTTCAAGCCTTCATATTCATTTTTTAAAATTATTACAATTATTACAAAAATAATAATAATAATAATAATAATAATAAATTAAATAGATTCATGCAACTGACATAAAGTTGATGGAAAAATGTTAAATGTATATACCAATAACATGTATTACTACTACATTATGTATATGTAACTTAAAAAATAAATCAAGAAATGCGAATGAATGAATGAATGACGTCTATAGTATAATATAGTGGGTGCTCTTATAGCTTTCCAGCTGTGAAGCTGGCAAGAAAGTCGTGCTTATTGAAAAGTTTATTCATATTCAAAAGTTAAATTTGTAATTTCAACAAACTCAATCCTCTACTCTTATCCTGCATTTGCTACTATCTTTTTTTTTTTTTTTTTTTTCTCTCTACCCTATTCTTGATGTTAAGTTTGTTTAAGTAAAAAAAATTTAAAAGCTAATAATGTACGATTTTTCATAAATAAATTCAAATTAAATTATTTTTATAATATTTCAGTACGTCCTAAATTTTTACGGATTACAGAAGAAGATGATAATACAAATTTAACTTCAGGGACTATTTTAGGGCCAATTAATGAAGGTACATTAATGACTTTAAATTGTGAAAGCGATCAAGGAAAACCTGTACCAACTGTGGAATGGTATAAAGGCGATAAGAGACTTAAAGGTATATATTTATTTATTTTATTTTTCGAAACTTTTAGTCTAATGAAAATATTATTCAATATAATGTAAACTCAATGTAAGTAGTAGTAGTAAAAAGCATTCACAGCAGCATTTAACAATTTATATTCACACTACGTTGAAAATAACATGTACTATAATGATAAATCTATATATAATATAGTATATTATAATATTAGCAATTAGTTGACGAAATTCTTCCTGCCTGTTGGTACAAAAAATCCTCAGTAGTATAACTCATAACTGTACCAAATCCATTTCAGCAGACTCTTGGTAAAATACTCACAAGAGACAATATTATAATATAATATCACATAATTTTCTACTGAAAATGAGATACATACTCTTAAATTCTGAATTATTTGCCTATGTTTCTGCTACTATTATTGTTACTACTACTACTACTACTACTACTACTACTACTACTACTACTACTACTACTACTACTACTACTACTACTACTACTACTACTACTACTACTACTACTACTACTACTACTACTACTACTACTACTACTACTACTACTACTACTACTACTACTACTACTACTACTACTACTACTACTACTACTACTACTACTACTACTACTACTACTACTACTACTACTACTACTACTACTACTACTACTACTACTACTACTACTACTACTACTACTACTACTACTACTACTACTACTACTACTACTACTACTACTACTACTACTACTACTACTACTACTACTACTACTACTACTACTACTACTACTACTACTACTACTACTACTACTACTACTACTACTACTACTACTACTACTACTACTACTACTACTACTACTACTACTACTACTACTACTACTACTACTACTACTACTACTACTACTACTACTACTACTACTACTACTACTACTACTACTACTACTACTACTACTACTACTACTACTACTACTACTACTACTACTACTACTACTACTACTACTACTACTACTACTACTACTACTACTACTACTACTACTACTACTACTACTACTACTACTACTACTACTACTACTACTACTACTACTACTACTACTACTACTGCTATTATTACTATGTTAGTTGTATCAAAACCGGTGGTAGCTTATACACAAAACCGTACGACGATAATTTCATTTTATTTTATCACGAGACATTGTTACCAACGAATAATTAGCTTAAACCTTTTAAAGAAACGAATTTTTCAATTTACTACTATACATTTATAAAAAAAAAAAAAAAAAAAAGGAATAGATAATTTTTGTTTTTGTTGAAAATATTGAAAGGAAAAAAAAAAGTAATTTTAAAAAATGGACAATTATTAATATCATTTTAAATATACATGTGTCACAAGTAAAATAATAGTCATTAAATATTAATAATATGGGCTCATAAAATTATTGATAGCCATTGGTTCAACAAAGGTCAGAGAAAATGGGGTTGGAATAGGAAGTAGTGTGCTACAGTTGCAAGTTGGCCGCAGCGAATTAGGTGCTACCTTTACTTGCAAAATCAGCAGTTTGGCACTTGCTGAGCCTCTAACTGTTGACATCAAACTTGACGTTCACGGTAAGTACGTGAGAAATCTGACATAATACTTAAATATCATATAATTTAACTAAAAACGTATTAAAATATATGTCTCATTGGAAAGAAGGAGTGTTAAAAAAAAATTAAAAATAAAACTTAAATAAATTATTTTATGTATATATGTATATACATTTGTGTACAAATATATAAATTAGATCAAGTGTCAGTAAATAGATGTGAAAGCAAAGCTTTTATACTCGTTAAGCGATATAATACAAAATATATGAAACATTTCGTTCGTGGGTGGAATATTTAAGCACTTACTAAAAACTCTGAAGTAAAATTTGTTTAAAAAGCAAAATAATCCCAGTCGGTTATACTGGTAAACTTATGTATGCATATAAATATAAATTTTGTTACGATGCTTTAATATTTTTCTTTGTTTTTTTGCACACCTCATAGCGCGAAACGCGTGAGGTTGTGGTTTATACTCGACTCGTCAAAGTCAAGCAATTTTGTGATCTTTAAATGTCTCTATCACAACCATATTACATTTATACAATAATCTTAGTAGATGTACACCGAGAAAACACTTAAATTAAACCATCTTTTATTTTCTAAAATCATTTCATGTAGCTATTTTGATAAAAAAAAAAAAACGTTTTAAAAAAAAATTTTACGTGGACGTCCGGATGTCACCCCATTTTGGGTCCGTATTTCATATCAGTAGCCTAGTTTACGTATTTTTTGCACGCCTCATAAGCGAAGCGTTGAGGTTGTGCTCTACTCTCGACATTTCGAAAAAAGCAGTTTTCTCGAAACTGAAATTAATTTTTTGTTATTTATATCGCACTTACAGGTTAAAATGAGTACACTTATGTCAAGTCAAATAATTTTCTAGGCACATAAAATATACTTCAATAACAATTTTTTTGTTTAACAAAATAAATAATAACATTAAACATAATCTCTTTTGGACGTCCGTGTATGAATGGGTGTATGTGGCAAGGAAATTGGTCGAAAAAATGATCGTACCGGAACAATTTTTTTTTTATTATCTAAAGTAACACACGAAGGATTTCCCTAATTAATATGAGCGTTCAATTCAC